CATGAAGAGACAGCAAGAAAAAACACTGATCACTGGATTTGGTCCCAGATAACATTTTACATGTCTCAAGTCAGCACAGACCCAACCAAATGTGCCGTTCACACACATTTTTATATATTTAATCCACAACCCATCTCCATATACTGGTGCTACAGTATATTATGGATTTAATGTTCATGTCTGTTACTGCTAGATTTGGTAGGAACTTTGTCACTTCGGTCACACCAGTAAAAGAGAGTGTGTGTGTGTGTGTGTGTGTGTGTGTTTCATGATACATGTATGAATTAAATTATGAAGAATGATGGATTGGAGTTTTTTGTGTGTGTGTGTGTGTGTGTGTTGTACGTGCTTCTGATGGGAACATGTCCCACCCACATCCGCAAAAGACACCTATGAAGAGTTCAAGATAAGCCTTTTTTTCTGAAAAATATGAGTCAGAGATGATGGGAGTGGCAGGGGTAGAAAACTCTTGATAAATGCGGTGGTTCTTGCTTTCCATCGCATCAGAAAGCTGATAGTCGAGAAACAGCAGTCAGATCACAGAGCAGAGCAGAAGGAGGGGGGGGTGCAAAAGCAGGTGATTGGCCGTGGCAGGTCAGCATTCATGTCGTCGGCTTTGGCCATAACTGTGGCGGGAGTCTCATCACTAAAGACTGGGTTATATCTGCAGCGCACTGCTTCCAGAGGTATGATGTTTAAGGCTTAAATAAAGCTTAAAGTCCCCCTGTAGTGAAAATCTAGTTTTTTTATGAATGAGGCATTTATATAGCGCTTTATTGTATATTGCTGTACACCCAAAGCGCTTTACAATCATATGGAGGGTCTCTCCTCAACCACCACCAGTGTGCAGCATCCACCTGGAGCCTCAGTACAACAGAGCCAGTGCACTCACCACACACCAGCTACAGGTAGAGAGGAGAGAAAGATAGAGCCAATTCAGTGGATGGGGATTATTAGGAGGCCATGATTGACATGGGCCAGTGGAGGGAATTTGGCCAGGACACCAGGGTTCCCTTTCATGGGAACTTCGAACTGCGTCCTCTAGGGGTCGCTATGGGGAACGCCTCATCGTGACCTGTGTCTGAAGCATACATTGAAAAACACCAACTCGTTGGCCGGCGACAGCCATGACGTCACTTCCAGTGCGACTATAGTATAAATAGGCACCGGGAGCACACATCATTCTCTTCTTCGTCTTCATTGACTGTTTTGTTTGAAGCGTGCATTTCTGTGGTAAGAGCGATCTCTATTCATCTCATTATGGCGAGCACTAGCAAAGCATTTAAGGATGTGTGGAAAGAGGGGCAGCCATCTGCTTCCCGCGATTCAGGACCCGCCGCTGCTGAAGCACGGAAGAGAATGAGCTTGTGGGGATCGCAGGTGGATCTGGCCGATGAGTTTGAAGGGGGGTTTCGCGATCGTCAGCTGTGCACGAGAGTAAGCAGCTGGAGGATGTTATTTCATTAACATTGTCTGGTTCAGGGGCCATTGATCTGCTGGGATCAGCCCAGCAAAAGCAGGAAATATCTGAGGAGGGCAAAGAAGCTGAGGCTGAGCCTTCCCAATCCTCCTGCCCTGCGTATGATGAGCTGTTGAAAATTATGGATCGTGCCACGGCGAGGCTTTACTTGCCGTGAAGCGGGTGAAGAAAGTGACGTCGCGAAATATCTCGATGAACGTTATTTTTCTGGCCATAACCCTCCAGCTCAGGTGAGCCTTCCTTTCGCTGTAAACCACGCTGTAGTTTAGGCATGTTTTGTGCCATTGATCATCGCTGTCGTCCTTAATAAATAAAGCCTTTATTCATGCTTGGGTGTCGGCTGTGAATCCAGTGGAGAGAAATCCCAACGCCCCGCCTTCCAACGATCCAATCAATTCCCGAAGGACAAAATCAAGTCCCGCCCTCTCATTTCAGATGCCGTTTCACTCGGATATACGTCACAGTAGAGAAGAAAAGACCATTGCAACTTCTGTTTCATGCTGACTTTAAATATGTAAGTTTTAAAGGATACAATTTTGATTACAGGGGGACTTTAATATACATTTGCAGATTGATAATAGTGGGATTGAAGCAGATTTTCTCTATATACAGTGCCGGTGTGTCTAACACTGTGATGTACTTTGGTCGTCTGAACCAATCCGGCTCAAACCCTAATGAGATGTCCAGGACAGCGAGTCGAATCATCAACCATCCTGGCTATGTCGGTGCTCCTTATGACAACGATATAGCACTGGTCCAGCTCTCCTCCTCTGTGACTTTCTCTGATTACATAAGGCCGGTCTGTCTGGCAGCGGCTGGGAGTGTATTTGGTGGAGGCACGGAGAGCTGGGTCACTGGATGGGGCAGACTACAATCTGGAGGTGAGTGAACATTTGCTTGCCAGTTATACTGTAAACCGCAACAATTTACCTAGAAATGTTTTTTTAAAGCCATAAAATTTGTCCTCTGATCTGTGTCACAGGCTCAGTGTCTGATATGCTGCAGGAGGTGACGATGACAGTTGTGAACAACATTGACTGTAATAAGTCTTATGGAGGGAACATCACAAGCAATATGATTTGTGCTGGACAGCAAGGGAAAAGTGCATGTCAGGTAAGACATCAGTCATTCATTTTAACCATTTTTAATCCAAAGTTATTTACAAAACACCTGCAAACTTTACACTGCCAACATTGTTGCTTAATGAAGCCCAGTCTTAAACTCAAACACTACGACTAGGGATGCACTGAAATGTCGGCCGCCGAAAATGGTGTTTTTACTTTTTGGTCGAAAGAGAAAAACGGCTGAAAATATATTCCGCCCCGCCCTTGCAACGTTCAGTCCCAAAGGATGATGAATTCTAAACATAAATAAAACAACACAGTTTATTAAAGAAACTAACAGAAATTAATCCAAAATAGAAAGCCAAGCAAGTGTGCACTGCACAAACAATACCAGACAACACAGAGGAACTTAAAAACACAGTGATAACGAACTAAAGGGAGAACAGGTGTGCTGATTAATGAATGTCCATGGTGACTGATGAGTGGCGGGAAGATAGAACAAAGAAAACAGGAAGGTGAAGTGACAAACTAAAAGTCCATGATAATGAAACTAAAGAACCTAATGGTGACATCCCAGCAGTGTTCAGTGCTCAGGTTTCACTCTATATAAGATAATAATATAGTATAGTCTATATAGATTATAATATAATATAGTCTATATAACGCACCGATAGATGTCTTCACTTCCTTCCACTGTAGAAAAAAAAGTGGAGTCCGAGTCTGTACAGTAGTGATCGTGAGCCGGAGCCGCGGTATCAAACTCCCGCCCTAAACTCCAGCAGACCCAATCGCAAGATCACAATCATGATGCCACAGCCCGTTATGATAGCATCAAATAACTAACTACAACCAAACTTACTCAATCTAAAAAACTAAAAAACACACTACATTTGAACTACCTGAAATAACAGAAATCATCTTTGGGAGACAAAATTATTTGAAGTGTAATTTGATTATTTACTTTTGCTCACGTCCCATTCATTTTCATGGAGAGGAGGGGACTTTTACTGCAGCCAGCCAGCAAAGAGCGATCGAAATTAAATGGCTTCAAACAAAAACAGATTTTCCGACACCAGAGGCCTGTTTCACAACGCCAATTTTGTTTTTTAAGTTCGTGCTTAGTTTGAGCAAACACTGAGTTTGTTCAACTAGCTTCATGCAACAGACCACAGAACGCAAATGTCATTGTTTTTCAGCATTGAACTTAGCATTGTAGTAAATCAGCTCAAAAGGGAAATATTTATGACTAATTATAACTGGTTATGATTAATAATAAATATTTAGATTAGATCTTCGAATTAACTGTAGCAGAATCAATATTACCATTACTTGATCTGTCCGTCCACCGAGCAGACAAAATAATAATTTATCAATTCAAAGAACGATTATTTTCCAGGCCAAGGAAGAGTAACTGTCCTTCTTTATGCAGTGCTAGCAGTAATTTAGCATATTGTAGCAAGGGTTCAAAACATTCATTGACTTCGAATTGTGAGCAGCAAACAGAGGCAATCGATCGTGAATATAAGGGATTTAATAAATTAAACTATATCTAACATATAATTAACTAAGCAAAACACATACTGAATGAAACAAAGTAAGGAAAAGAGAGAGGAAAGTAAAGGATGGCAGTATTTCACATCAATTTTAGACACAACCTTTGAGTAACATCAGAGAATCAAAAATCACCTTAAAAGGGGCTGAAACTTAAACACGCATCTAAATAATTGTAAACGGTTACTTGCATTGGCTTCGATTGCTGAACAAGACTCCTGATGCGGTAGACAACGGAGGTCTTTGATGAGTTCGTGAGGAGTGAGCTGGAAGTTTAGTTCTGGTTCTTCTGAAGAAGGAAAAGTCCACAGCGACTAAAGTTACTTGAAGATAAAACTGCCGGAAAATAAAAACTCAAGAGGAAAATCTTGAGAGTCTTGGAAAAGTGTTGTCTCAAACGAAGAGGGTTTTCAAGATTATTTCGGGCTAATCACTTTTGTGGGTTCATATTCTGTGTGGACTGGCCAATACCAGGCGTGAATTTTTGAGCGGGATAAGTTTCCTTTGTTTCCCTTTATGGCCCATTTGCATGTTTTATGGCCGGTCTGGAATTTCTGCAGTTTTAACCCAAAATATAGTACAAATCGTATGATGCGTTTCACAATCACATACTGTACATCATTGTTTGAGGAATAAAGAGCAGATAATATTGATACCAAGAAAGAGACCTTTAGAATCGATTAAACCAAAGATACATCCATACACCTGAATATCAGTGTTTAGGGCTTTTTCTAATTCAAATCACGAGTGGTAACTCAGCTAATCTAATAGGGAAATGTACAAACAACACATGCAATATACCAAATATATTTGTAGAGTATAATAGAGTAAAAGGTCTTTACGTGTGTGTGTGTGTGTGCGTGTGTGTGTGTGTGTTAGTTTGCTTGGTCAGCCGGGCCCATTGTGCCTGGCCCTGGGGGTCATTTACGTCTCTTTGGAATGTGTTTGAAACTCCAAATGAAGGCGAGAGTGGTGAAACTGTTTAGCATCTCCTTGATAGTGGGGGGGGGCACCATTTGACATTTAGCACCCATATAAGTGTAAAGTCGGTGACCAGGACTGTAATTTATATGCAAATGTCAAAAGCTAAAAGGGTCTCTTAAGCCATAAAACCCCAAAGATCATGCATGATTCTAATATCAGCAAACATGTTTTTATGCTTTAGTAGAGTCAAAACAATTACATGTGGCACCTTTAAACAGCCATTCAGACTTTTGTGTTCACAATGGTATTCATCACAGCACCAAATACTTAAAATAGTTAACAGGCTATCTGTTTTAAAACTTAAATATGGCCAAGATATTGATTGAAAATGCTCTGATTCTTTATTTAACTCATTAGTTAACATGAACTGAAAATGAAAATACCTTGACAATGAAAAAAAAAATTATATAATGTTAATTTCAGCATTTACTAATACGTTATTAAAATCAAAAGTTGTTAGTGTATTTTTTAATGAACCTGAACTAATGCACATGTTTCTCATGTCATCATCTCTTTGGGAAATTCATAATAAATAATAATAACTCAAGATGCTCTGTTGAGATATGTGATATATGTGCTTTATTTAAACAGCAAAGGAAATACATAAAATTGGTTCGAGCCAGTAAACTAAAATGCATTGATGGACACACGGCCGGCATACTTTCACCATTGGGTTATTGCATACTTCTGTCTGTAATACAGTTGTTTATTGTATACTGTCAGAGATATAAATGCTGAATGTGTCTCAATACAGGGAGACTCTGGAGGTCCAATGCTCAGCAGGAACGGCTCCCTGTGGATTCAGTCTGGCGTTGTGAGCTTTATAAGAATCCCATGTGATGACCCCAAACATCCCAATGGGTTCGCCAGAGTCTCTCAGTACCAGGACTGGATCAAGTCTTACACGGGCAGCAACCCACCTGGATTTGTTGCATTCAACAATGACATTCAACATTCAATTCCACCTCCAACTCCAACTCCAACTAAAACTCCAACTCCAACTCCAACTGAAACTCCAACTAAAACTCCAACTCCAACTCCAACTCCAACTAAAACGCCAACTCCAACTAAAACTCCAACTCCAACTCCAACTAAAACTCCAACTCCAACTCCAACTAAAACGCCAACTAAAACTCCAACTCCAACTAAAACTCCAACTCCAACTAAAACTCAGACTGCAGCATCAAACTCCAACTCCAGAAGCGTTCCTAGCCTCCTCTTATTCCCCCTTTCTCTCACAGTCTCCATCATTCCTTTCACCTTCTCCCTCTTTCTCACTTCCTAAAGATCGCTTGAACAGTACTTCTGGACACAGTTTTTGTTTGATGAAGAGGACAGTTCTGCTGCACATGCTCTCGTAAATATGAGGAAAAAACTGTTATATTATTGTATTTGCAATTTATTCTTTATCATGCTTTAAATGTACTATACTTCAAAAGCTCTCTTACTGACATTTTAAGAGGAAACACTAATAAAGTTCAGTTCATCATGCTTCTTTGAGATTCAGGATGTTTGCATAAATAGTAGAGATGGACTGATATGGATATATTCCTTGTATATGTTTGATAGATAATGCATTCATTTTCATTTCGGGGTAAACTAAATTAATCTGGCTCCACATAGTTTAAGTTTATGTGTTTACAGGGGCAATGCACATTAATAAACATAACTGTAAATGTGCCAAAATTCTTTTATTCTTTTCATCTGTTGACAGATTGTTCAAATGTCACCCTAAAAACAAAGAAAGAGCATCATTACACATATACACATATTAAAAAATAGAAAAAAGTAAAATACAGAAAACATTACAGACACATAAATGCACAATAAATATCGCTACTAAAATACAAAATATTAGTAAATTATCTGGATAAATGACATTGAAGCTAACCAGAGGGAAGAAAATAATAAATAAAATTAAAATTAAAAAGATATCTCTTTAACATTTCAAATATTTCTCCTAGACAGAAATTAGGTTACTTTAAGATTGAATGGAAACTTTTGATTGAGTCTCCTGCTTCTCAAATCTGTCTCCTGAGACAAAAAAAAACTCTTAACGCTGCCACAATGGTCTCCTTTAAAGCTTGAGAAGAGATCTCAACAACATCATCTCCTAATCTAAAGACTCAAGAGCTTTCATATTTGTCTCCTCTAAATTTCAGAAGTGATTTCAATAACTTTACAAAGTGTGCACCAAGTCAAATGCCTCAATATGAGCTCAAACATATCTACCATATAATATGTATTAATAATCAAATTAGTCAATTAATAATCAAGACTGAGTCATAAGCCATTTATGTGCCTTTCAGCAAAGAAAGCTCCAGGGTTACATTTCTGTAGATCAGTTTTCATTAAGGCATTCGGTACATTACTATTTCCAACAACAAATTATGTGCGTAAGTACATAAACATTGTGTTATAAAAAGTAACATTATCCTTATTTCTGCATAATTTCTCTCTCAATATAGCCTTTAACTCTGAATTTATGGTTTTCCCTTTATTTTGTGCCTTTTCAAGTACTTGACTTGATGCACACTTTGTAAAGTTGTTGAGATCTCTTCTAAAGCTTTACAGGAGACAAATATGAGTCTCCGCAACTTACGTGAAGACACGGGGCAACGGGGACAGCCTGGAGGGCAGGACCTCGTACTGATATGCTCGTCCTTCGGACACGAACCACAGCAATGGTCTGTGGTGCGGAAGGGTCGACACATGAAGTACGCATCATTCAGGTCGACCGCTGTAAACCAATCTTGGGGACGGATGCACCCGAAGATGCGTTCCTGCGTCAATATCTTGAACGTAACCGGTGAAGGGCCCGGTTCAAGACACGCAGGTCCAAGATTGGTCGTAACCCACCGCGTTTCTTGGGTACAATGAAGTAGGAGCTGTAAAACCCTTTCTTCATATCGGCTGGAGGGACTGGCTCTATCGCATCCTTTGCCAGTAGGACTGCGACCTCCGCCCGCAAGACAGGACCATCGGCCGCCTTCACTGTTGTGAAGCAGATGCCACTGAACTTGGGGGGACGCCGGGTGAACTGAATCGCATAGCCGAGGCTGATGGACCGCGGAAACCAGCGAGACGGGCTGGGTAGCTCTAGCCAGGCACCCAGATACCGTGCAAGCGGGACAATGGAACAACTGCCATACTGCAAACCAATATTCGCTGGGCAGCGAAGTGGAATGCAGGGACCCAACTCGGGTGGCTTGTGAGTGGACTGAATGTGCGATGCAATGCTTACCTGGTTCCACAGGTTGGCAGAGGTTGCGTGAGTAGGGCCTTCATTGACTCTCTCGAACTGCCCGCTGCTGCCAGCTGGCGAAGGAGGAGGATGAGCGTGGTCCGGTGTTGGTCCGTCCACGACTCTCTGTACCCTCCCGGGACCCAGCGACAGAGAAAACCGCTCTTTCGTCGAGATTTTCCAGATTCTCCACCCAGCCCTCCTCCGGGGTAGGGAGAGATGCCTTCACCATCCCCCGAGAGCAGCTTCCTCACTCTCTGGGTCGCCCGTCCCGGGGCCTCTTGCTCTTTTGCTCACCGCCAGATTTGACGGGGGCCCGGACTAGTGGGGCGGCCTGCCAACACCCAGCTCCACGGCGCCGCTTGTGGGAGGTGGACGCAGGGGGCCTCCCTTGGTGATGAGAAGGCTGGGGTGCTGCGGATGGCGAACGGGTGGACGCCTCAGTCTGCTTCTGTACAGCCGAGAGCTGCTGGGCAAGGCTCACGACCGCATCGCCGAAGAGGCCGGTCTGGGACACAGGGGCATTAAAGAACCAAACTTTGTCGGTGTCCCTCATATCGACAAGACACAGTCAGTTTTGGCTCTTTTACACCACCATAGTGGACAGGGCGCGCCCCAGAGACAGCGCAGTGGCCTTCGTCGCATGTGGGGCGAGGTCCGTAGCGGTGCGGAGTTCTTTGAGAACTTCTGAGTCGTGACCACCCTCGTGCAGGTCCCTCAGTGCCTTAGCCTGAAGAACATGCAGTAACGCCATAGCATATAAGGCGGAGGCAGCTTCTCCACAGGCCGTATAAGCATCGCTGGCCAGTCGAGTACCTACAGACCTGGGAGGGGAGGCACGGTTCGCCCTGCGGGGTGGAGGCGGTATTAGGACACACTTGCATCGCAACCGACCGCTCCACCGGGGGGGACCCTTGTAACCCCTTAGCTGCACCACCGTTGAGGGTGGTGAGGGAGGAGAAACCAGCAGATCGGTTTCCGGCAGTAAAAGGTGTTGTACATGACCTGGTGAGCCCTTCATGCACTTCCGGGAAGAAAGGCACCGAGGCGGGGCGCTGAGAACCAGCATTGAGCCCTACCGCTACGGCGGCCCGGGAAAGCATAGCCGTTATTTCCGGATCCGATTCAGGCATTGCTACAGTCCCGGAGGAGAGCAGTGCAGCCAACTCTCCCTCTCCAGAAGGCTCCGGCTCACCCTCCGATGCAGCGATCGACATCCGGTCGTCGGGAGGAGCGCCAAAGGATACGGCTGGTACGCTCCTTGTAGAGAGCCCAGCACGTTCCATTGGCAGCTCAACTGGTTGCGGAGTGCCTCAGACCGCCCGCGCTACTGCCTGAAGTAGCCCCCACCTGGCTGCCACCATGAGGAGAACTAGATCGAGGCAGATGAAACGGAACTCCGCCCCTTGAGGAAACGGAGCTTGGCCCGGGACTCTAAGATGATCATCTTCCCGCAATGAGAAGATGACTCATCCACAAACGCCACCTCAGCGTGCTACATGCCCAGGCACGTGAGGCAGTGATCGTGACCATCACCCAGCGCCAGGTAACGACCGCATCCAGAAACGCCTGGGTGATAAGTTGTCTATAGCAAGACCCACATCGTATTTACAAAGACGTAACTTCAAGTTTGCCATGCAACGTCGTCTTTAAAAAGACGCACCCGAAA